AGGTATATCGGGCTATTCGTAAGAGGTAGGCCATTTTCAGAGAGCAAGAATTAGGGGTGGAACTTTGGTTTGTGCAAACCCAATCCCATTTTTCGCATACTTGAACAATCATTTTATAATTAGAGTTGGGTCTGAGTTGAAAAATCTTAATCAAGAACCCGAACTTAATTAAATTTAGACTTGAGTTAAGTTACTAGAAACTGAGTCCGAATTTAATATTATTTTCATATATATTTTTTATTTTTAATATATTCTATATAATATTTTTATTTTTAACTTACTTTGATAAATCTCAATTCATTGTATGTTAACATTTTGAGAATTAATTTTTTATGAATTTGTTAATAATTTATTAAAAATTTCCAATAACTTTTTTAAAATGTCGGGAATTAAATTTGACATTTAAAATAGGTTTATAGAATGTCCACTTGTCCAGAGACCAGACATTCCTTCCGGTAGGGGGTCATGTATAACTTGGCTTGCATGTAACTTGCAGATATGAAGTGGTTATCAAATATGGGGGAAGTGCAGAAAACACCCCGAAGTATACTTTTTGTAGTATTTTTACCCCCTAATTGAAAAGGTGTTCAGTAAACACCCCTAATCTTTTGAAATTGTGCAAAATTACCTCTCTGTGCAATAAACACCACTAAATTGTTACTGTAATACCCATTTTGCCCTTTTAGTCTTCCGAAAATACCCATACTTCTCTCTCTACTCTCTGCCGCCGGTTCCTCCTACCACCATCTTCTTCTTACACCATAATTCACCCCTCAACTCCACCCATCAATCTCATCCATCCATTCATACATATATATATATATATATATACACACACACACACACACACACACACACACACATATATATATCTATATATATACAAGGCGGCTGCAAATCAGAGAACCTTCGCCAACAAGTCCGGCGACAACAACCCGGTCCGTGTTGGAGGACCCACAAACCCTTTTCTCACCGACGGTGGTCTATCCACCGTCATATCGAAGCCCAATGGTGTCTGTGGCATCAATACCAACTCAGCCACCGTTATAATCTCTAAGGAAGAAGACGATTGCCCCGGCGTGAAGAGCATGCGATTTACAGTAACCGGCGCATGTTGAAGGGCATGAAATTATGTCGTCGCCGCCATTGCCACAGATCGATTTATTGAGGATGATTTGGTAAACCCATGGCCGCCACCTGCAAATCAATATCGGTGGCCGTGTTGTGCGTTTTTGGCTTTCAATTTGGGGTTTGGATTTGGTGGTCGTCGTTTAAGATCACGTTGAAAATACCCAATTCGCACGTGATGACAAGCCAAAGAAGATGTCGGCGATGACGCAGAGCCCCAGAGAACATATTCGACGCAGATTCGACGGCGACTACACAGACGACGGCGATGACGCAGATTCGACGGCGTTGAAGTCCGACGTTTGGTGCTCGCATCGGCAACTCATAGCTCTTGCAGAGAACTTAAAATCGAACAAGCTCTCGAGTCTCGCCGGTGTTCATGGTCGCCGGAGTTGTTTCACCGATTGGGTCTTGTAGATGTTGAAGCTCACCACCCATGGAAGGCTTTGTTATTTTACAATTTAGCTTCACCCCGAGTCCAACTCGGACGAGAATTCCAAATCAGCTTTGACCCATCTCTACTTCATCTTTCTTTCCCCTCTCAACACAAAAATTGCAGTGGCGTCGAGGTCGTCGTCGTCATCGGTGGAGATGAAAGTCGTTAATAAAAGGAGAGAGAAATGCGGAGATGTCGTGTCGATGTGGCCGCTGTTGGGTTGTCGAGGTCGTTGTCATTATCGGCGAAGGTGGTTGTCGAGGTCGTTGTCATTATCGGCGAAGGTGGTTGTCGTCGGCGGCGACGGGAGCCGCTGCCGGATTTCCCTATATATTTGCAGAGTGTAACTTCCGGCGGCCGGCACCACCTTCGCCGAAAGTCCCCGGCCATTACGATTGATTTATATCTTGAATGTGTTCTTCATTTTCTTGTGGAGGTTTGATGAATACTTAAATTTGCCAAGAAGCAGGGTGATTTCATGGCCAAGAAGGGAGTGTCCGTGGTGATGCCAGTTAGGTGCCATTCATACCCCCTACACTCATGGTTATCAAAATCGTGATCTGGATCATCCGATCACAGTATTACTTGATCCTACGGTTCAAAGTTATCAAAACTGATCGTGAAAACTGAAGCCCAAGAAACCGAACTGGGTTTGCAGAGTCCTTTTTGGTCTTTTTACAATTTTTTGTATTTTTATATGTTTTATAAAATTGTTGATTAAGGGCACTTTAGTCAAGTTCAGTTTTAAATTTCTCAGAGGGACTTGATTGCACCAAATTGAAACTTGAGGGGTGTTTTTTGTATGAAAGGGGTGTGATATACACTATAAGCATACTTAAGGGGTGTTTTTTGCACTTTACCCTATCAAATATACACATATATATGTATTATGTATGTATAAATTGTTAAAAATAACTAGCAGTAACTTCCCATAATGGGAGCAACAACAACCCAGCCCAGAAGACAGTCTATGGTTAGAACCTAAATTTATTTCAAACCCTTTTAACAGCTCCTTCAAAACATTGTCCCTAAAACCTCCTCATTCTCCAAACGGCATTGTTTTGCATGTATAAACAAAGGTAGTAAAAGGTAACTTAATCGCAGAGCATGGGCACTATGAATGGAACAGATTGGATAATAGTCGATTCTGTTGGAAAATAAACTTGACTTTAGAATTTTATTATTTAATTAGTCATTTCAAATACTGTGCGCATTTAGAATGTTAGTGGGTAGTAAATTGTCTTAATGAGAACTAATATATGAGAGTTGGTGGGTTATGTAAAACCAAAGGTCATGAGAGTCAAGCTTACTAAATACTATGTTAGTGAGAGAAATGAGAGTTATGCATATTTATATGTAACTGATAGATATATGTTTTTAAGGCATGTATAATCATGTACTTTATCTAATGTTATATGTGAATAAGATGAAATAAAGGAGAATAAGTTGGGATTAAGTGAAATTATATATTTCTTCCTCCATTTCTTTTCCAAAATTATATTAAGTTGTATTTGTTCATCTAGCCCACTTATTTCCAACAAAGTGGTGTCAGAGTAAAAGCCAACAAAGTGGTGTAAATGATCTTAAAGGCCTGACGAAATTGATCCTAAAGGGTTTAACATGTTGCACCATGATGATGATGAAAAGGAGAAAATGTTTTTTCTTAGTGAGAAGATGATGTTCTCTGATTATAAGAGAATGAGAATCATTATGGTTTCATACCTCAAAGCATGTGATTTGTGGGATGTTGTTGGAGAAGAGTCGAAGAATGACATATCCAACAAGTTCCGTGAAAAGAAAGAAGAAAAAATATTGACAGTGTTGCAAAAGGCAATACATCAAGAAATTTGGAAGTATTTTGGAGAGTCCAAAACTCCAAGTAGTGTTTGGAAGATGTTTGAGACTATCGTTTTCAATCATAGAGGTGAATCACTACTCATGGAGTATTGGGTACAATGCTTTGAGGATGATGAGTTTAAAAAGAGAGATTATTCAAGGCTAGAAGGTTACTTAACGAATGAAGAGGTTTGTTGCACACATGGACTTGAATAAATTAAAGATATGTAGACCCGCTAGCTTTGTTCCTTACATCCCCACTTGCATAAAATTGAAATGGTGAATGATGAAGAGGTAAAGAAAGGTGTGGAAGAACAGATTAAAAAAGTGGAGGAGAATGATGTGGAAAGAAAAATTAAAAAAGAAGAAAGTGCTAAAGAAGAGGCAAGAGTTGATGAATTTGGTGAGTTAACATCATCAGGTATGGTTACAAATTCCATTTTGAAATAAGTTATATATGACTTATTTGATGACTTTATTATTTCTTCATATTCTTGATAATGTACTTATTTTGTGGAAACTTCTTAGAAGAAAATTGTTCTAATTAATTTTGAGATTGAAGCTAAAGGTGAGAAGAATTTTTTGAATTGTTTTTTACAAGATTGTTTGGAGAATTTTGTTATTGATGCAAAGTGGATGAATATGAAGTAGTTTTTTTATTCTAAAGAAGAAGCCCATATGAAGTTCAAGAAGCGTAAGGAATTCAAGGAGAGATGTCGCACCCATGTGAAAAAGATAAATGTTGATCATGAAAAGACATTATTAAAGCGTTTAAAAAAGTTTCCCAAGCATTACACATTAATTATAATGGCCAAAAAGATTGTTGGGAAGGTGTTTGAATTCAAGACCAACTAATGAACTTTTGACCAATGAACTTTTGACCAAGCTCCCAAGATCAATAAGAAGATCAATAAGAAGTTTATTTTCTAAGTTGTAAAATCAAGTTTAAATGGAGTATTGAAAAATAAACTTGATTTTAGAATTTTAGTATTTAATTAGTCATTTCAAATATTGTGCATTTAACATGTTAGTGGGTAGTAAATTGTGTTAACGAGAACTAATATACGAGAGTTATCGTGATAGTGAAGGTTACCAGAGTTACGTCTGTCTACTGTATACAGCATTTATATGTAATTGATAGATATATGTTATTAAGGCCTACATAATAATATACCCCACCTAATGTAACATGTGAAAAAGATGAAATAAAGGAGAATAAGTTTGGATTACGTGAAGTAATATATTTCTTCCTCCATTTCACTTCCAAAAGTGGCATCAAGGCAAAAAGCCAACAGATTCTCCGTGCTGCTGATCTATTAAACACTTTCTTCTCCATCCCAGCTTCATACTCATCAGATAAAATAGCAACTTCTTTTATGGACTAATCATCATAAACATTAGGTAAAAATATATTTATTGTTCGAGGTATCTGAAGGCAATGCACCAATGTGAGCATCCTATAGCATTTGTACTATCAACGCCAACGAGCAAAACAAAAAAGTGAAAACCTGAATTCATCCTGGACAAACTGAACTTCATAACCAAACTTTAAAAACTTCTCAATACAGACTAGGAGGAAGATGATAAATGGAATGAAGCATAATTTGAAACAATAATGTCACACTTCATAAAGAGAATAATGTGATATAATCTCATTTATTTATGCTCTAAACGAAATAGGAAGATAAGAGTTGCGGGATAAAAAAAAATTACAACACAAAGTTAGATGTTTGCATCATTACAATTGAAAATCAAAATCATTAACCTAACAAATTGAACTAGTTCCAAAATTGAATGTCAAACAAAACCAAGACCACCTGACTGATCTATATCACACCAAGCCTCAACCACTACAATTTTTTTTTAAAAAGCAGAGAAATCAATGCACCATGTTGTTGAGCTTCAAGTTTCAATTGCCTGAACTAAAACGGAGAACTAAAATTTGATCAGAGATTAATGAATATGTGAATTGATTGGAGAAACCAATGCCTAGTTGGAATCAGAGATGCTCTGAACCGCTATAACAAACTGGATTTTTAATCTATATAAGTAAGAAACAAAGACAATATACTTACCATCTGAACGTTTTATGTCAAAATAGTTGGGATCTTGAGCTCGAGATGCCAGACAAGTAAAAGAGCTGGAATTTGGGCAAAACGGTTTTCTTGGGATCCGATACGAGACGTTTTGGGGCGTTTTCTGATCCCAAGAAAACCCTTTTGCCCAAATTCAAGATCTTGAAACTATGCTTGTTGAAGAAGTTGAGAACCGAATCTGGTTTGTCTAGGGTTTGAGATTGATGTATTTGGAAGGTGAAATAGCAGTTTGTGGACTCAACCCGCATGAATTGATGAGGTAATTGAATGTAAATGAGTATTGATTTGTGGAAATTGAGATGGATCTGAGAGATAAAGACAGCTGATGGATGGTTTGAAGGGCATACAGTTTTATGGGTTGTTGAATCTAAAACACGACCTAGGGGGGTTGCGGCTATGGAGGTTGCGGCTATGGATAAGTTCACTTTCGATGAAGCGAAGCTTATAAAGGAGATAACAGATCACGAACGACGACGTTTGACCCATCTTTCCTCTTCTATATGCCTCTCTTTTCATTTAAATCTTGCATAACAAGGCATTTCCACTACTATAACCCTAAATTAACCACACCACTGACCAACACCCTTACACTAACCACACCACTGACACTGAGTCACGCACATACATCTACGTAATACTTTAAAGTATACTTTGCATAGTATTTTTATCTCATATTTAAAAAGTATGCAAATTTTTTTTTAATTTTTTCACATTATGCAAAAATACCCCTCTTAACATAAATTAGTGATGCAATACCCATTTTACTCTTTTTACTCTTCCGAAAATGCCTAAAAGAATATATATCCTACTAATCTCATAATATAGGTGTGTTACGTGCACATTACCTTTTTTTTTTTTTGAAAATTTGAGAATTTGAAAAATAAGGATTTCAATTTGTTGAGATTTCAGTTTACCCTTTTTTACTAATTTTTTTTTCAAACCAAAACTGTTAAAAAAAAGACAAAGGAATTTTTTTTTTTAATATTAGTGTACATTGTTTTTGGGAATTTGGAGCAAATTTGTTTTCTTTAGTTTGCATTTTATTTTCGTTTTTTATTTTTTATTTTTTATTTTTACTTTTCTTTTATATTTTATATTTTTATCTTTAATTGTCCATTGCCCGCGTGCCCCAATAGTGTTCTTTTCAGTCATTTTATAAAATTATTTATTTTTATAAAATGGTTCAATAAGGGTAATTTAGTCAACTTAGGGATTAAATTTGTTAGAGGGGCCTATTTGTACCAAATTAAAACTTTAGAGGTGTTTTTTGCACATGAGGGGCGTCATCCAAAATATTAAATATGAGATAAAAATACTATGCAAAGTATTTTTGCACATGAGGTTCAGCATAACTTAAAAATACTATAAAAATACTTTTTTGCACATGAGGTTCAGCATAACTTAGTTTAAGTCCTAGGGTTTTAATACTGAAAATTGTAGGTAACCAAAATATTATCACAAGGTCAACTTCAACAGACTAGATTCATCAAAATATACTTGCAAGAAGATCAAAAACTCATAATACAGCAAGATACAATCAATTAGTACTTAAATCCAGGAATTTGTCAGCAAATCAGGCAACACAGATGAGTTTACTGTCCAAGATTGATTTCAGCAGGTTTTTCAACAAAACTTTGTACTGAGCAAGTGTAAATAAGTGAATTATACCAGTGTCAGCCCTTAGACTCAACCACAGCACCTTTGAACTCAAATTCACTATTCAATCCAGCCCTTGCAGCAGCAGTAACAACAGCAACAACATCTCCTCAGTAAAAATACTTCAGTAAATCTTGAATCAGTGAGATTTTATAGCATAAATCATCTTAAATACCCTCAATAAATCAAGTTCATTCAATACTCTCTAAAGAATATAGGCTGCAGCTCAGTTTTTCATCTCACTCAAGGACCTTAACCCTAAAAAGCTATAACAACATATTTATATAAAGCCACATAGTGCATATAACTTCATACACCTTCAGAATACACCTGTCACCTCTGGCCAATCATTGAAACAGCACAATGCAGATATTTTTAGGAGCAGGATCCAATTACTGAAGGCCACCTCAGCATATTTTGTCACTATGCATACTGAAATACATACATATACACAACAAGGCTGTACACTCCATTCAGCTCAAAACTTAACCTCCAAGAAAATGTAATATTCCTGCATATTCACTTACTTTAGGACCACTAGAACGTGTCACACTCTTGTGTATAGTAAGGAAGTACCAAAATACCCTTGCAACAGATTTTCAACTTCTCAGCAAAATAAAAGTCCTGAGACTGTATAAATGGTAATGCAGATTCAATCAGGTCAATTCAGTGCAATGCAGCATCCTGAGCATACGTATATGTATAGAATGTAGTTGAGAAATGACAACGCTACTCCCGGAACCATTTGTGACAATTTACATGAACTGAACCCACACAATATTCAGCTAATTTAGCAAGAACATATAGATATACTGTAATAAATACATTAAGACAAATATGAAGGATAAGTCACTGATGAGAAAATGACCACACTATCCTTGAGACTTATTTCAAGCAATTTTGACAATGAAAAAACCCTTTAAAGCCACTGCCGCACAAATTTTTGACATTAAAGAGGCAAACAATGCTTAAGGGACTTCAGGACCAACATAAATTGCAACACTAATTCTTTTGCAGTGACTTTTAAACTGATCTTAACCCGTCAATAATCAAACCATATAAATGAATCTCCGGTTATTCAAAAATATATTAATAATCTTAATTTGGATTTTTTTATTTTTTTTTTAGCCAATCTTAATTTGAAAAATGACATTGCAGTTTTTAAAAATGAAGTTAAGGACCCTTCATTGAAAAATACTTGGATTAAAGGAAAAAAAAAAAAAAAATGATTTTTCAAACTTTAATTTAGGTTCCGCTTGTTTGGATGTAAAATATTTTTTTATTTTTTAGTGTTTGATTGTTATAAAATGTTTACGAAGAAAAAAAATATTAAAATCTAACAAAAATAACTTAGCAATAAATTTTCAGTAAGTTATTTTACATGCCCCATTCGATGGATTCGACCTTAAGCTCGATTAGACCTTTGCCAAACACCAAAGAAATAAAAATAAAAGAATAATTTACTTCAAAAAGGACGGAGGATTATTATTTTACAATGAATAATGAGTTGGAGTCCGGACAAGCAGGGGCGGAGGCAGCATGTGCCCAACGGGGTAGTTGCCCCCTGCCCATGCTGCCCCACTAGAATATATATATATATATATATATATATATATATATATATATATATATATAAGGGGGGGGGGGGGCATTGTGTCAATTTTTACAAATATATATATTAATAAAATGGCTCCTCTACTCCTGAATCCACTATATTTTATTTTATTTTATGCGTATAATTTCTAAATATTTATAAAACACCCTCACATAATTTATAAATTATCCCTATAAAATTATCTATTTCTAAAAATTTCTTTAATTCTTTATTCATTTTCCTTCTTATTCTTCAAATTTCTTTTTGTTATCTTAAAAACTTTTGCATTCTCTTTCTACAATTAAAACCTATAATTTCCTTCAAAATTCTCTCATATTTTTTTCTTTTTATTTCATTTTCTTCTTAAAAAATTGTTTTTTCTTCTTAAAATTTTTTTTTTTTCATGCACTAATGCAAAATTTATGTGCAATAACCTTCTTTTTCTTTTTATTAATTTTTATTCACTTATTCTAATACATTGTTGTTACACTATTATATTTTTGGCCTGCTTAATTTTTATTTTATTTTATCAGTGCTAACATGCCCCCCTGAACCAAATTCCTGACTCCCGCCCCTACGGACAAGTACGATTGTGTTATGTGAATTGGGACTAATATCATCATGATGTCATTAAAAAAAATAAACTATATAGGATGTGTTAGAACCATCAGACTCCTATCATTACTCTTTCACAATTGTGTCACATTTTAATGCATCAAAGAAATGTAAAAGTGTCAATATATTTCGTTTTATTACAGTGTCAATTTGTTTGAAATGAGGATAGCTTAAAAAAAATAGAGTATATGAAATATTACTACCTTTAGATTTTAATTGAACGAGTATGAATTTTATTTTTGATAAGTTGAATGAATAATTAAATGAAGTCTGAGATTAATAAAAAAAATTAGGATTTTAAGAGAGATTAATAATTTATTGCACAATTTTATGCGAAATATTAAGTTGTTCAATTTTGAGTGAAATATTACGTTATTCTCCTTCATATAAAAAATAAAATATAAATAAAAAAGCATAATGAGAATTGAATGTTGAACAGATTCTCCATGCTTATGATAAATTGGTGACATGTGCTTTATTTGTATTTTTTATTTTTAAATCAATAACCAATTTATTATGGCATTCAATCCAGGCCCACCCCTGCAAGGAGCAGCATTGTGTAAATCGAGACCAATTGATGTTCAATGAAGATAAGACACGCCTTTTATGGCATTCGATCCAGGCCCACCTGTGCAAGAAGCGGCATTGTGTGCTACCTTGTCAACAATCCCTCCCTCACGTGATGGCTCTGATACCACTTGAATTGGGCCCCATTTCATCTAAAAACTAATTAGTGTTTAGTGAAGGTAAGACATGCCTTTTATGACATTCGATCCAGATCCAGGCCCACCTATGTAAGGACCGGCATCATGTGCTACTTTGCCAACAATCCGTATTGTACTTTCAAAACAAACTCAACCTAAATAGATAACAAAAAGTTTGCTATTCCCACCAAAACTGCAATGCAATCACTTTGAGGATGGTCGGAGAGAACGGAGGGAGACCAGGGTTACTTTAATTCTAAAGCAAGCGTATCCTAGGCTTTAAAAAAATATGGCCGACATAAATTTCAACGACTTGTATACATCATAACATCATAAAACACTTTGAGATTAAAAATAATAATAATAATAATAATAATAATAATAATAAAATTAAAAAATATATAATAAAAATAATAAATTTGAGGAAATAATAACTCGCCCTTTAGTGACTAACGTCCACCAACTCATACATGAAAAGCTCCAGCCTATTAAGGCCCACTAGAGAGTTATGCAAAAAATGCATTAGAATGAAAACAGGCTGAGGGATCTTAAAACCAAGTATAAAGCATTTCTACACAAATCTAACTATTTCATTAGAATTCATGTGCTTTCTATTTCAGAAACATTTCCGAACTATTTCATTATCTATAGTTACTCAACCCCATAAAGAACGATCCAAGGGACTAATAAGAGAAATAACAAAAACACCAGTATTTGACATCAATGAATAGAATATACATGAAGTACAAACCAGAAATTTCGAGGTACTGTGAAGTGCAATCATGATATTTTTTGCAGTGCGACAGGCAATATTGCTCAAACTTTTAGCTTGTGGCGGCCTAGCGAATTTGCAGATCAAGTAATAGTAGAATTGAATTAAATGGTGAATAAAGAAAATCGAGGAATAAGAAAAGGGTGTGAAGGAAATGAAGATTGTGGTTGAAATTAAAGTTAAATCAAAGAAAACTGGGAAATTGGGTGTGAAGGAAAATACGAATGTAGTTCCAAGTGGTGTTGATTTGGAAGAGAAAAAGAGGGAATTGAAGAGGTTGGAGGTTGAGTTGGAGAAGAAAAATAGGGAATTGGAGATGTTGGAGAAAATTAAGAACGTAGTTCAAGTTGTTGATGATGATGGTGATGCTAACGAGGTTGCTTCATCCAGTGAAAATATGGCTGAGAAGAGTGATGGGGTTAAGATTAATGAGGGGAAGGTAGGCTATCGAGTCAAACTCCATCAGAGGTTGGAATTCAGAAGAAGAGTCAGGATGGTGATGTATGCTGATTTGGAGGACTCAGAGGAGTCGGAATCATCCACTGAAGACGAGGATTTTAGAGTGGAGAATTCTTGGAGCTCTGTTAGTTCTGATGAGACGCGTCCTTGTGATGATAATGATGAAGAAGATGAGTGTAGAGGTATGGAGAGGGAAAGAATTAATGCAAATGATGAAGATGATGAAGAAGAAGAAGAAGAAGATAAAGATGAGTGCAGAGTTATGGAGAGAGAGAGTTAATGCTAAGGGAAAAGAAAAAATGGTTCAGGGTGGAAAAAGGAGAAAAGTCAACACCACTTGGAACTACATTCTTATTTTCTTTATGTCAACTCTTTTTCTCCTCCAAATCAACACCACTTTGAACTAAATTCTTTTTTTTCCATATGTCAACTCTTTTTCTCCAATATCTATCGTCTTCACTAGATGATTCTGACTCCTTTGAATCCTCCAAATCAACACATACATCGTCACCCTGACTGTTCTCCTCGACAGCATCACCATCACCATCATCATCATCAACAACAACTTGAACTACATTCTTGCTTTTCTCCAACATCTCCAATTCCCGCTTTTTCTTCTCCAACTCAACCTCCAGCCTCTTCAATTCCCTCTTTTTCTCCTCCAAATCAACAACACTTGGAACTACATTCTTAGTTTCCTTCACACCCAATTTCCTATTTTTCTTTGATTCAACTTTAATTTCAACCACATTCTTCATTTCCTTCGCATCCTTTTCTAGTTCCCCATTTTTCTTTGATTCACCATTAAATTCAACTCTACTCTTACTTCTCTGAGTTCTCTCCAATCCAATTTTGGAATAGATTTTTGATATCCCTTGAGTGAGAAAAACTGGTAGTAGGAACATTGTTCTCTACACATTCTCTCCAAGGGCAGACAAGGGTCTCGTGATGGCGGTAGCACCGGGTAGCTGTGTGCTCCATGAACCTGCGACACCATGCCTCCACACTTAGCCACTACAAGAAAAATTCATTTTTAAAGTTCCACTAATTGCGTTGACATAAAAAAAAAAATACAAAGTTTGCTATTCACACCAAAATTGTAATGTGAAGAGAACGTTGACAAAAAAAAAAAAAAAACAAAGTTTGCTATTCACACCAAAATTGTAATGTGAAGAGAATGGCCAGAGAGATAATGGTGAGAGAACAAAGTTACTTGAAAAGGATCTGTCTCTTAATATTAGCAAGAGATAGCTTTGATGAACAAAAAATAGGAAAACATACATATATCTCTCAAAAAAAGGTAAAGTAACAATCTCCGTAAGACTGACCTTAGGCCAAAAAATTTGATGGCTGTCATAAGGTTTAAGGACTTGGATTCAGAACATCATGAAGCACTAATGACTTTGCTAATCAAATCCTATCCAATCGCTTAACCAAAAAATTTGAGGGAATAATAATCTGCCATTTAGCTACTCAGCTTTCACCATCTTATCCACGAAAACTCCAGCCTATTAAGTATCAGTCAATTTTCTCACAAAACCCAAGACCCACTAGAGAGTTATGCAAAATTGCATTAGAGAATGAGAAAAAGCCAAGTGATCTTCAAACCAAGTTTAAAGCATTTCTAAGAATGTACCTTATGAGACAACTATTTTGATGGCTACTCAACCCGAAAGTACAATCTATGTCACACCCCAAAAGGGCGTGATATAAAATGGGCTAAACAGAAATTGGGACAGCAGTCCCGGTTAGAATGAAATCTGAGTAGCAGTTACTAAAAATTCATTTTAGATGGGAACGAGGCAAACCAAAATTGTTTGAAACTAGACTCGAAGTGTAACGTGACCGAGCCACTCCCATCAGCTGAAACTTTGCCAACTAAATCAGATTTTAGAAGTAAAACAGCTTATCTAGAATGAGCTGAAATTTGAAAGTGTGACGAACTTTGGTCTTTAATAAACTGCAGGGAACTTAGAAAATTCCAAGGCTTTGGTTTTTAGAAATTAGACATGATGGTCTAAAAATCTGGAGGGTTTGATGATTTTCTGATGTCAAAACACTTGTCAAATAGGTTATTCAAAATCTGCCCCCTAGCAGGGACAATGAACGGACAGCAGATAGTGTATGATTTTTATAAAAAATAACTACCTGTCCAAAAATTAAAAAATTTTAAAAAGGAATTCTAAACTCACTGGAGAGCCCGTGGTAAAAATTTGAAAACCTTTGGGGCAGCCCTTGGAGAAATTGTTGATTCTCGGCACAATGGAATAAAAATCCATGCTTGCTCCCAAACCCAAATTCAGAACCTTCTCCACTGGCCTACTTTTCCACACCACAACCGAGAAGGAACGTACACAAAGTTCTCTAAATGTTTATTCAATTACAAAATTGTCATTAAAATCCCTTGATTTACATAATAATTCAAAAACCTATCTCATACACACATTTTATCAAACACTAAGTATACATGAACATAAATATCCCCAAGAGTTCCAGTAGCAAGTACTATAACGTGTGTTGCTAAGGCATGTCATGATCTAACCAAAATGAATCAAAACATTAGGATGGAAGCATGTGTATATCAACTTATATAAGCAGGAACGCTTCAAAATAGAACAACAATTGATGAATTTATGGAGCAAAGCAATAGTCACAAAAAACTCAAGTAAAACTATATACAACAGAATATGTTACAACAAGATCCATGGTCACAACAATGACACGACATCACCATAACAACATAAGTTAGGGCAACCCTACCTTAGACAAATGTGGAGAAGATGATGAACATGGTGATGGCGGGGAAAATCTGGCAAAGCTCCCTCCTTCTTTCTCTTCTTCTTTCTTCGATTCCACTTTTTCCTGCTCTCTCTCTCTCTCTAACTAATGCAGGAACAAGAAAGATTGTTTAAATGCATGAGAACCTTAGGTGTGTGTAGCACAAGTGTCCCTCTAGGTGTCATGCTCTTAAGCATCCTATTTGCCATATGGATCCCACTAAGCCTACTTTTCCCAATTTACAAAATCATCTACCAACCACTGCTATAATTACACGGCATATTCTAAATAAAATCTCATAAATTTGTAATATATTTCTAGTTGGAACCCAAACTGATCTCCACAGGTAATTTAATCACCCATTAATTAAGGTTAAAAGCTTAAATCAAAATATCCTGGTTGTTACAATTCAAGTATCAAGTAACAAGTATAAAGGATTAAGGGTCTTGTGGCGTAAGTGCATAGTACTATCTTTTTTATTTTTTAAAGTTGACGATGTCTTCAAAGAGTGAAGTAAGCATGTAAATTGACACCAAAAAAAAATAATAATAAATAAATAAAAAAATAAAAATCTCTATTTGATGTCAATGAATAGAAAATACATCAAATTGCAAACAATGTGTTGTAGTTGAAAAAATTCATATCATCATTAGTGACAGCCATTACCCCTTTGTAACTCCCGCATAAATAAGTTGTAAACGAGTTGATGACCTGCTGATTTACAACCCACCCAAACCTGTCCATTTCTCATCCCTACCTTGTTATATATATATATATATATATATATATATATATATATCAGTGTAGAAAACACACCTATATCTGTATATAAGATGTTTTTTCTTCTTTCTTTACTTAGTTTAAATGTAAAATAACTTCAGATTTATGTTGGTTGTCACACTTTCTTTTATATATATAGAAATGATTTTTTACTCATTCGTGAATAAAAAATTTATTCACATTAATCATGATTTTTATATTTTTTAATAACTACATTTTTAATAACTCACATGTATATATAAACTTGCACCTTTCGCCGCATAAGGTTCCAAAATGATTGCAAAAAAAAGAGAAAATAATCAATGTGTAAATTCTAATCCTCTTTTGATTTTCATTGTAGGCAAATTCCACAAATTGTAGCCTTATATTTACATTTTATTTTAAAATAAAAACAAGCTAGTGTGATGTTGTGTAATAAAAGACTGACACGGCAGACTAAAAGAAAATTTTTATAGGACCTTTATTAGAATAGGTATGCATGAAATCCCACAGCAGCTACTTAGTAAGTAGAATAGAGTTAAATCAGCAATCTTTCTGTAACAACCTCTGACACCAAAAAAAAAAGAAAATAATAATAACAATAATAATCACTGAATAGAAATACAAGGAACCTGTAAAAAAAAAAAAAAAAAAAAAAAAAACAAAGTACCAGTCTTTGATATCAGTGAGTAGAAATATACATCTAGCATGGCTGATTTCATCAAGAGAGAACAATGTCTTGCCGCAAAGTGGTGAATTGTACTAGTGGTATACTTCCATCGATCCCATATTTCATCTGCCAGTTGCTAGCATAGTTTCAACTCGTATTCCTATTATTCTTTACCCAAACATAAAAAATAAATTATTATTGTGACGGAAGGGCGTGTTCCCACCTCATAACATGGGGTACCGATTGTAATATACAATATACAATAATATACAATAATTAGGGTGAAACTACATTGTAATTAGGACTAGAGAGAAAAACTAGTAGTAAAAATTGTAGTCTCCACATTCTCTTCAATGGCAGGGAGGGGTCTCCCTACGGTAGTAGCATGGGGTAGCCGTGTGCTCCACGAACCTACAACACCCATGCTTCCATGCCTAGTCGCTGTAAGAAAAACTCATTCGAAAATTTCCACTAGTTGTTTTGAAATACAATAGAAAACAAGAACTTTACTATTCACGCCAAAACTGTAATGTAATCCCTTGAGAATGGTGAGACACCTATGAAATTTTAATTCTAAAGCTGGCGCATCCTTGGCTTTAAAAAGATCTGGGTGCAAATATTAGCAAGAAATATTTTTTAATGAACAGAAAATTGAAAAACATACATATATCTCTAGAAAAGGTAGGGTAGCAATCTCCTAAATACTGACTAACCCTAGGCCAAAAAATTGATGATTGACATAAGGTTCAACGACTCGGATTCAGAACATCATGCAGCACTAAACACTAGCAAATTAAATCCTCTCTAATCCATGAAAGCTCTAGCCTATTATGTATCAGCTAATTTCCTCAAAGAACCCAAGACCCACTAGAGAGTTATGCAAAACTACACTAGAATAAAAACACACTGAGAGATCTTCAAACCAAGTTAAAGCATTTCTAAGAATGTAGCTTATGAAACAACTATTTTGCCATGAACTGCCCAATGAAGCAACTAGCAACAAAGGATTGTAAGGCCAGATTGTTGAATTCATGCGCTTTCTATTTCAGAAACATTTCCAATCTATTTCATTATCTATAGTTACTCAACCCCATAAAGTGCAATCTAAGGACCCATAAAAGAAATAACTAAAACACCCGATCTTCGATATCAATGAATAGAAATATACATCTACAAACCAGAATTCAGTGGCACTGTGAGGTGCAATTATAATGGTTTTTGTAGTGTGACAAGAAGTATCACTCAAACTATTAGCTTGTGGTGGCCTTACATCACATGGCAACATCTAAAACTACCCTGAAATCAAACTGTATGATACATACATACATGCATGCAGCACTCTAAAGGCCCATTAACATGAACATGAAGAACAGCTATGTGCAGATTATTACTAAATATATCCCGCAACAGCTGCTTAGTAAGTAGAATTGAATTAAATCAGCAATCTACCTGTAACATGACAGTAATTTAGTTCGTCCATGTTTCAGATTAAAGATTAAGAAGATCTTGCAAAGTCAGAGTTGCACAAAAATAAAAATAAAAAATAAAAAATCATTCAGCAATTATACATGATTAATGAAAGATATATTAGCGCAGTACAAAATCTCTAAACATTTTCTAACGAAATCGAATAAATACTTGCCAAAAAATAATCAAACTAAGATCATTAAAATCCAAAGATAAAAAAATTATTCATCAAGACCAGAGTACGTACAAACCACTTCAATTAGGAAGTAGATATTCTATAACTGAGAAGTTCCACTCTTACCTTCACAATCACGACCATGTAATTTTGAAAGCTCCAATTTTTCTTGATATAATTGTTGGAAAAATATATACTTAATGTGACTTTTAAGATATAACAACCCTTATACTAATATGTCATGAGATAATTAACAATATGTTAAGAAATCATTAATTAAATATGCAACTCTATATTTAATTAAATATGCAAAATAAAGCAATAAAATAATAATAATATACAAGGAACGAACCTGAACCGAGACTAGTATTGGATACTATGTCCTTAAGACAGATTCGCCCCGCTATGATGCTAACGGACTCAGTGGCGTCTATCTCCCAGGATACAACGGTCTACATCCATCAGTAGCAGCACTGCAAACTCGTGGATACGGCAAACTTCCTCCGTGTAATACTCTGTTTGACTCAAAAATGCATCTATATATACTATATAAATGCTGAATTGGGTGTAATCCGAACCAAATGGTTCGGACCAATCTTAATATGGCTCGATGAAATTGGATTAGGGTCTAAGTGGCTCGAACCACTTAACCTTTGGTTTGAACCCACTTGGGTTGGGTTCAAGTCTAGAGAGGGAGATAGAAGAAAATGAAAATGAATGAATTGCAAATGATCCAAAAGGGGGGGTATTTATAGAAACAAAAATTACTTTTCAGATTGGGTGTATCTCTTCATTATTGGACACAACCATTGCAATAGGTTGCAATGGTTCACATAGTGTCTGTTCACTACTAGACACATCTATTCCAATAGGTTGCAACGGTTCACATGGTGTCTGTTCACGAATAGACACATCCATTCCAATAGATTGCAATGTGCCTTTTCGAGTGGGTGCAACCATGGGTCATGATGGTTCGGAAAAATGTGTAACCCTTTGAAAAAACTAAAAAGTGATTTTTTAATTTAAAAGGTGTAACCCTTTAGAAAAACTAAAATATGGTTTTTTAATTTAAAAGGTGTAACCTTTTAGAAAAACAAAAAAGTAGTTTTTTTAATTCAAAAAACCAACCACCCAAAAAACCCACCCATTTAAATAAGCCCAGCCCAAAATTAGGCCCAATCCAAAATTCCAAAAAAGAATAATCTGGACTTTACAATTAGGCCCAAGCCCAAGCCCAAATCCTAAACTTAGCTTATTTAAATTTCAATTTGTTTCAACATTTTTTCCATGTGGGACAAACACTTCCTGTAATACCCTTAATTTTAAAAGGACAGTCCTGAAATTTAATTTAATTATTTATTGTATTTTTATTAAATTAATTGATTATTTGTTTGTTTTGATTAATTAATTATTTACTTATTTGATTTATTTTATTTTTAATTCAATTAATTGTGTTTTTCTTTCATTAATCGTTCTAAATTGTGTTTTCTTTAATTAATTGCTTAAATTGTATTTTGGTTTGTTTCATTAATTTAAATGTATTTCTCGAGTTTAATTAATTACGTGCTTATGTGAATTCACTGTTTTAGTAATTAGGATTTCATGTTTTACATCGTGTCTAGGATTGGAGCCGACATATAATTGGTTTAGGCTTTACTTTAGGGTTTGGTTTAGGATTTAAATTAGGGTTTCAATTAAAACCTATAAATACATAAGTACGGATTGCCAAGGGTTTTGTTAACCCTATTCACGTAAAAAAAAGAGTTGTGAGAGACAAAGAAACAGAGAGTGAGTCTGACTAATATACAGAGAGGCTCAAGGAGGAAGGAGTGGAGTGCTTTTGGGTTGAACCAAGAGCACCGGAGGTGGTGAACGGCAGCCTAGGACGTTGACGGGAAATCCAGAGACGTTAGTTTACAGTTTCAAAATCTGAAACTGCAGGCAAGTTTTGTTCTTCTCTTTCCTCTGTAATTTGTGTTCTGTGCATGCCTAGGTAGTCTCCAGGGATTTAATAAGGTTTAAAATGGATTAAATAGATGTTGTAACACGTCTTTTATGCATGAGCATACAATATTTAATTTTATTGTAATAATTGGGTTTGAGTTTGCTTAAAGTTACTAGTCGAATTTCTGCTGCCGTTATGTTTAAAAGATTCTGTTAAATCCATGTTGTGGATGTATAACCATGGTTTAGGATT